CAATTAATTCGTTTTTTTTTTCGATTCGATTTTTGTCGGTTTTTCGGTTATTTATCGGTTTTTTCTTAAATATGAAACATATACTACCAAACACATATTCCGGCGTCTACATTTTCAATGTAACACTATCAAATTAATTGTTCTTTGAGAAATCTATTATTTACCAAGATTTATTGATGTTAACCGAATCAAATAGTGATGAATAATATAAGTACTCAATTAAAATTGATTATTTTTAACAAATAAATTCTTGTACTTAGAAAAGAAAATTACCAATCAAAATAGAATGTAAAGGCAAAGAATTAATTAGATTATTATATTAGCAAAGAACTAGACTAAAAATATAAATGACTATATGTACCATAAAAATTTTAGAAACTTTATATAAACATATACATATATATAGGTGTAATAATAAATTCAAATAGCTACTTTTATAGTCGGGTTAGTTCGATTTTTTTCGGTTATTTTTTTTATTAAAACCAAAATCAAACCAAATTTGATCGATTTTTAAATTCAAAACCAAAACCAAAGCAAACCTAAAAAGTGTCGATTTTTTGGTCGGTTTGGTTCGATTTTTCGGGTTTTTATGAACACCCCTACCCAGAAGGGTGCGCCGTTCAGGTGGTCGGACGAGTATGAGGTGAGCTTTCAGAAGCTCAAGACAGCTTTGACCACGGCGCCGATGTTGGTTTTGCCTACAGGTTCAGGGCCATTTACAGTATTTGTGACGCATCTCGTATTAGACTTGGTGCGGTGTTGATGCAGAATGGCAAGGTTATTGCATATGCTTCGCGGCAGTTGAAGATTCACGAAAAGAATTATCCATTTCATGATTTGGAGCTAGCAGCCATTGTTCACGCGCTAAAGATTTGGAGGCATTATTTATATGGTGTGTCATGTGAGGTGTTCACGGATCATAAGAGTTTGCAGTATTTGTTGAAGCAAAAGGAGTTCAATTTGAGGCAGAGAAGGTGGTTGGAGCTACTGAAAGACTATGATATCACCATCTTGTATCATCCCGAGAAGGCCAATGTTGTGGCCGATGCTTTGAGTAGGAAGTCAGCCGGTATGGGCAGCCTTGCGTATATTCCGGTCGGGGAGAGACCGCTTGCCTTGGATGTTTAGGCTTTGGCCAATAAGTTCGTGAGGTTGGATGTCTCTGAGCCCAACCGTGTTCTAGCTTGTACAGTCGCTCGGTCTTTATTATTTGAGCGTATCAGGGATCGGCAGTATGATGATCCTCATTTGCTGGTCCTTAGGGACACCGTGCGGCACGGTGGTACCAAGCAGGTTACAGTTGGAGATAATGGAGTTTTGAGGATGCGGGGTTGTGTTTGTGTGCCTAATATGGATGGACTTCATGAGTTGATTCTAGAGGAGGCCCATAGTTCCCGGTATTCTATTCATCCGAGCGCCGCTAAGATGTATCAGGATTTGCGGCAACATTATTGGTGGAGGAGGATGAAAAAGGATATTGTTGCATATGTAGCTCGGTGTTTGAATTGTCAGCATGTAAAGTACGAGCATCAGAGACCTGGTGGTTTGCTTCAGCAGATTGAGATTCCTGAGTGGAAATGGGAGCGTATCACTATGAACTTCGTTGTTGGACTCCCACGGAATCAGAGGAAGTTCGATGCAGTATGGGTTATTGTTAATAGGCTGACTAAGTCAGCGCATTTCATTCCTATAGCAGTTTACTATTCCTCGGAGCGGTTAGGTGAGATCTATATCCGGGAGATTGTTCGCTTCATGGTGTGCCCGTGTCTATCATTT